ACTACATTTCTGCACGGTGAACCCGTCTTGACATCTACTTGGAGGACCTGGGCTAAGTCAGACTTCTAAGGCTTTGCACAGTGGGTATCAATGGAGTAGTGTAACGGTGAATTCCCGGGATGATGAAGAGTTTGGGAGGGGGAGAGTGGCGAGAACCATTTCTGTGCTTTGAAATTACACAGGAATCACTGCAGGCAGATACAAAACAGAGGCTGAAGAACATCAAAGACAGAAATAATAGCTGACACGGAGAGGTTTTTTTAATATGTGCACCAGGTTCATTTAATTCCTACAATTCTGTCATTACAGATAAGGAAACAGGCTCTGAGGTGAAATAATTTACAAAAGACCTAGAGCTGTTAAGTGGTGATACTCAAATTTACATACACCCAGTCTCATTTCTACATTTATCCTCCTATTCGATGTCCATTTTTAAAGTGGTAAAAAGTTTTTCCTATACTTTAAACTATTTTAAAATTAATTAACTATAATTGTTTTCTAATGTAATAATCAACAGCAAGAATTAACTAGTCTTTCTCTCCCTCTCCCTCTCTCTCTATATGTGTGTGTGTGTGTGTGTGTGTGTGTATGCCAAGAAAGTAGCTTAAAAGACTACTTTCATATATTTGTCATTTTAAAATTAAAATGTGCATTTATAAAGAATGTAAAATTATGGAATGATAGCATTAAAGTATCTAGGTCTCAAAATAAAGAGCTAACACAAACTTTAAACATGACATTCACCTCTTTGTAATTTGAGGATCTCTGAATTGTAGCACAGAAACTAAAACCAACCACCATCTGGAAATGTACCTCCGTTCGGGAATTCTGGGCCACTTCATTTACAAGGGTTTACTATGCTTCCTCTTGTGATATAGGGCTCTGACAAGGATGTGAAATGTTTACCGTGAATATTTTTTAGTTTTACACTAATTCAAAAACTATAGTGCTGTGGTCCGTGATCCCACTCACGAAACAAGGTTTGGGAGCTCGGACTGGGAGGGTAAGGTGTGGAATCACCAGGCAGACTCCAGGGAGGTTTCTGGAATGCTTCCACTTTATTCAGGAAATGCACAGGCTTATATAGGGAACCATGGGGGAGGAGCATGGGAGGAACATTTAACGTTTGGCAATATCTTATTTGCCATACATGGCAGACTGATTTCTCTTGGGTGAGATGAAAGGAGTCAGGACCAGGGGCAGAGGTGTAGCCTATTGGACCCAGCATCTAAGCATTTAGGTGAGTTAGCTCAGCCTTAGCAAGGTCTCCCAGTTTGCTCAGGAGACAAGAGTGTGGCACACCTGGCCCAGCCAGGCTTGAACTTCTCCCACACTATGGTCAATTTATTATTTTAAATTGTAAAAGATAATCAATGGATAGGTTGGAGAAATCCCAAGAGCCATGATTTTCAACTGACCAATAACCATGTAAAAATAATGATTTACTTACTACTAACATTATCATGTTACTCAGCACTTCATGGTGATTGGAAAGTACTAAATTTTATCAATGATCAATTTTAGAAATACAACATAGAATCTACTAGTGAATAAGTGTGCATATCAGTTTAGACGTTTTTCAAAATGCTGAAATTACTAACCATTTTTAGCTATTTTTATGAAAAGTAAGCATGACATCTAATTTTAATTAAAATATTTAATTAAGAAATTGATTACATAATTAAGAGATATTTTGCTCCATCACAAGAATAAAGACTAGCTAAAATATTTAGCTGACATGAGTACAGATGTTTAGTTGTTTAGCACTGCATGTTTCTTTATACTGTAAAATCAGTTCATGAATGAGTAAAATTATATTCTTCAGGTTATCACATTGACGTATTTATCCTTTTAAAAATATATCTTCATACTAAGGCTGTCTTGGTGTGACTAAAAGGTAAATGGAAAGGTACTTCCATTGGACTTACAGAGGAAGAACATGGTATTCACCAGAAAAAATATGATATGCAAGTTTTTGCTTTTGTTGGTTTAAAATGTATACTCCCCAGTAGAAGTCACCATTACTCTAAGTCAGTGGGTTTGTTCAGTTATCTCTTCAGCCAGACAAAAAGTCAGCTCAGGGATGCAAAAGGCATTCATTCTGAACCCAGGATTTAGTGCACTTGTGAGCAGCAGACAAAAGGCTGCTTGTGGCTTGCTGAGAATTAAAGATTACTAGGTGAGCAAAAAGTTGCCTCAACAAAGGTACAGCAGGCTGCATCTTTTGAAATGAGAAGACATGTAAAGAAGTCTCAAAATCAGACTTACAGATCACCTAAAGCAACCATAAAAGGCAAAAAGATGGAACAAACTGACATTCAACCATCAGAACTCCCAGAACTGGCAACGAAAGAGTGTCTGGAAAAAATAAAATCAGAAATAATTTCTCAGATAACAACAGAGACTGTGACCATAATGCAAAACATGACTAATAAATCTAGAGCAGACACAGATGAAAAAATTGAGGACCTGAGGAACATGATGGAATCCCAACATAGGAAACAAATGGAATTCATAAAAGACATGCAAGCAGAATTCCAGGAGATTAAAAACTTCACTAAAAGCTTACACAGCAGAATGAGCCAATGTGAGGACAGAATTTCAGATATAGAAGATCGGATTGCAATTAGTGATCAGGAAAAGAAAAATGTCTTTAAAATAGTAAGGGATCATGATAAATCAATCCAGCAGCTGATAGGTGATGCAAAAAAGAATAACTATAAGGCTGATCAAGCTCAACAAAAAAACAGGAGAATGTGTATTCAACAAAAAATCCTGTACACAGAAGTAATGGCAGAAAACTTCCCAATAGGAGAAAGGATCTTGACATATAGATAATTGAGGCATACAGGACTCCAACTAGCCATGATTAAAAAAGTCTACACATAGATATATAATAGTTAAGATTCCAGAAACCCAATGGGGAAAAAAATTTCTATAAGCAGTTAGTGAAAAGAAACAAATCACATAAAAAGGAAAGCCCATCAGAATCACAGCAGACTTCACAACACAAACCCTCAAGTAAAGAAGAGCTTGGAGTGATGTATTTCAAGCCTTAAAGGAAAACAACCTCCAACCCAGATTGATGTACCCTGAAAACTATCTTTCAAAACTGATGGAGAAATAAGATGCTCTCATGATAAAGAGCAACTGTGGAACCTCATGAATACAAAACAAGCACTCAAAAACTTTTTAAATGACATCCTGGAAAAAGGTAAGGTTCACAACCCAGGAAGCCCAGCATAATGAATCCAACTGGCATGACAATAAATTAAACTCAAAGGGGGAGAATCTAACAAAAAGAAAAAGTTGTGACAGGCATAAGCCACTACATATCAGTTATAACCATCAATGTTAATAGTCTCCATTCACCTATCAAAAGAAATAGACTGGCAGAATAGGTCAAGAAGCAAGATCCAACATATTGTTGCATACAAGAAACATACTTATTTCAAAATAAACTCATAGACTGAAAGTTAAAGGGTGGAAAACAATACTCCATGTAAAAGGGGCCAAAAGCACCAGTAGCTATCCTCTTTACAGATCAAGTGGATTTCAAACCAACACTGATTAAGAGAGACAATGGATGCTACATCCTTGTAAAGGGAACAATCGAAGGGGAAGAGGTAACAATCATAAATATATAGGCACCAAACACAAGTTCATCCAACTATATAAAACAAAAACTAACAAGCATGAAAAATCAAATAAGCACTCAAACAAAGGTAGTGTGGGACCTCAATACCCCACTATCACAAATAGATAGATTAACTAGGAAGAAAATAAACAACAAAATACTAGAACTCTAGCAAACTCTTGAATATCCAGAATATATAAAGAAATTAAAAAATCAGACACCCAAATTTTTAAAACTCATTTCAAAAATAGGCATCTCTGAAACAAAAAAGTAAAAGCAGCAAATAAGCATATAAGAAAATCTTCAACATTGCTGGTCATTTGAGAGATGCAGATGAAAACAACACTGAGATTCCATCTCACCCCAGAAAGAATGGCTGCTATCAAGAAATCAACCAATAACAAATGTTGGCAGGGTTGTGGGGAGAAAGGAACACTCCTTCACTGTTGGTATAAGTGCATACTGGTGCAACCACTGTGGAAATCAATATGCATATACCTCATACAACTAAGATTAGAAGTCCCATTTGACCCACCTATTTCCTTGCTGGGCATCTTCCCAAAAGAATTAAAAGCATCATACCACAGCGATATATGCTCACCCATGTTTATAGAGGCACGGTTTGTAATAGCTAGATCTTGGAAACAGCCTAATTGCCCATACATTAGAGACGGGATAAAGAAGATTTTTAAAAAATTATTAAATGGAGTACTACTTAGACATAAAGAATGAGAAACTAGAGATATTTATAGCTAAGTGGATGTACATTGAGGACATACTCAAGTGAAATTAATAGGACACACATGTGTAAATACTGAATAGTTTATCTGGTGTGATAAACTAAAAGTGTAAATAGGAATCAAAATGCATAATTGATACTGTGTAATAGGAAAAAATGTCTGAAGGTGTAGGGGATTTAAGAGGGGTAGAGGAAAGCTAAGAATGGAAAAGAAAAAATAAGAGAAAGGGAAAACAATGGAAACAAAATCTGTAAATAGGGAAGGGTGGAGGGGGTGAAGGGTGAGCAGGGGAATGGGGAAAAAATAAGAACCAAATATATTATGTAAAGCTACAAGATCCCAATGATGAATGGAACTGTACTGTATACATAAAATGTACCAATAAAGAAAAAAGGAAAAAGAAAGTTTCCACCACCTCCCAGAAGGACCACTCTGAGGACCAAGCCTTTAACATATGGGCTTTTGGGAGAATATCCAACATTCAAAGTATAATATATATTACTTTTAGAGTGCTAAGTGTTATAAACTGAGAAAATGTGCAAAAAATGAAAACTTTAGAAATAAGATAAATAAAAATCGACTAACAGTTTCAAATTTTTTAAAAATAAATTTGAGATAGGGCCTCTCTAAGTCTCCAAACTGACCAGAATGGGCTCCAATTTATGATCCTCCTGCATCAACTTCTGGGACTTCTGGGGTTACAGGCTTTCCCCACCATGCCTGGCTCTTATAGTTAAGCATCTTAGTAAACTGTCACATGAAGACAGCAACAAACACTGGGATCCTGGCCTGCTAAGTTCTTTGTATCAATGCTCTTGTAACTCTCTCAATTGGTAACGAGGCTACATTACTAATTCAAACAAATTAGAATTTATATATACTACTTCTCATACAGGACATAGTAATGTATGATATTATCATTTTTTAAATCTCTAATATCTCCTAGGTAAATACCTAATTAATATTTTAGTTTTAGAAGCTCAGTTTGTAAAAACACACTTTGAATCATCTCATCTTTAAGTAGAGCTGCTTCAAAAGGAGTAGAGGGGAACAGAGACAGCAGTTTCCAGCCAGTCCCCCTGGGGAGGAGACAGCAGAACTGCCAGTAGCAAGGGGGCAAGGTGAGAAGTCTCCTGTGCGGCCAACTGCACACACTCAGGTAAAACAGGGAGGGAAATTTTAAATAGCGCGGACAGTGATCTTGCACCCCAGTAAATCAGGATCTGGCCCACCATGAGCATGGGATGAACTACACAGACCTCCTCATTTCTGTCGTATGAGTTCCCAGGGACTTCTTGACAAGACAGCACTGTGATGCTGGCATTTAACGGACACTGTTCATATAAAAGGACCCCAAGGAAATCTAGTACATCACAGACAAACATGAAACTGCCTTAGGTGTCCAACTGCGAGCTTCATTCCATCTGAGCTGCTGTTGCACAAGAGAGAGAATTCCAGGCAACACCGACACTGATCATCTAAAAGGTGACAGCAGTAACTTGATCTGTTGAGCACCTGCTCTCTGCTGGGCACAGGGCTAAGGATTTTAGACACAGACACATAAACTCAGTGCAGGAAGATGAGAAGAATGGTAAGGATGTTGGGTATAAAGCCCTTAGCACAACGCCACTTTGACCAAGTAGCTCTGTGCCTCGGTTTTCACTTTTATAAAAGGAGGCTACTTCTTGTTCTTTGAGGATTTTAAGAGATTAAAAGAAATCATAGCTGTGGCTAAATCCTGGGGAGATATTCTAGTCAAAGTCTCTGAACTTACAGAAATTACAAGGAAAGACTTTCCATAGTCTCACGCTCCTCTCTACCTATTATGCCATTTATTTCTCGGGCCCCTTCACTCAATACTCTCAAAACAAACATGAAAAAACACTCATCACCCACTCTTGAATCCTCTTTTACGCCTATACTCATTCCTCAGACAACTCCATTCTGGTGCTGTCCCCTACGACCCCACTGAGACCATTACTAAGACCACCAGTGACCTTGCTGTTTATGAAAAAACAATGGCTATTAAGGCAGCAGCATTGGACACTGTCCACTATGTCCTCCTTGAAACTCCTGGCATTCACTTTTCAACGGCTGCTGTGTTATCTTTTTTGTAATATGCTCTAAATATCTGTACTAGGTCCTTTGCCATTCCATTTTCTCTTTGATAATTCTGTCCATCTCCATGGTTTTGAGTAGCATCTACATTCTGACAACGGTGCTGTGGACTAAAGTCTTCCCACTCCCTAACTCATAGGCCCAAACCATCTGTAACCTGTAACGTGACTGATTCTACTTGGAAACAATGTCTTTAGGAGGCAGGGGGTTAAATGAGGTCATAAATGTGCACTGCTAACCCAATAGGGCTGACTGGTGGCCTTAAAAGATGAAGACACACCAGAGGGCTCTCTGTTCACCATGACAGGACAAAGCAAGAACTCGGTCATCGACAACCCAAGGGAGGTCTCCCCAGACATCAACCCTGCTGGCAATTTAATGTTGGAGTCCAAAGCAGTTTCAAGAACTGTAAGACAATAAACTCCTGTTTTGTAAGCCTCCCAATTTATGGTGTTTTCTTATGAAAGACTGAGCTGATTAAGACAAACTCCTAACTTTTTATCTGTGCTGCAAACCCTTCTGAACTCTATGCTTGCATATCCAACTGCATGTTTGACACACCCATTTGAATGTCTCTCATTAGGCCTTATATCCAAAAAGGAAGTCAATTTCTCTCAAACCTCCTAAACCTTCATTTTCCATCTCAATAACTGGTGCCACCATTCATTGAGTCGTTTGAGCCCAAAAATCAGAATTATTTTTGATTTCTCTTTTTCTCTCACTGTCTGTCTCTTCTCCCCAATCCAATCTACTACCAAGTTCGATTTGTTCATTTCCAAGGATACTTAAAATCCAGCTTCCCCCTTCACTTCTGCTATCCTGATTTGGACCAGGAGATCAGGCACTGACTTTCCCAGCCAGCACAAAGGGCTTCCTCATTTCACTTCCCCTTAGTTTGCTGCAGCCTTTAGACTGGTGTTTTGAAGACCGCTTTTCCTGTTAGATTCGCAGACCTTTTAGTTTCCTCTGTAGCATTTTACACAATTTAATTGAACCGGGGTTTATTTTGCTTTGTTTTGTTTTTGGCACTGTGTTTGTCTCTACTGCCAAGTTCCTCTGATGCTAACTGAAAAGCACTATATGACTATAAAAACACAGACCTGTTTTGGGTACATTTCTGGTGATACATGTTAATGTTATCAACTGGTCATATGGAAAGGGGACAGGAGGATTGTGATAAAATATGGGCTGTGACTTCATTAATCCAAAATTAAATTAAATTAGAAAGTCATCTATATTTATTGTATAAGTATCATGTGCCAGCAGTATATAAATGAAGAAAGCCCCACAAGACCTGAACAATTCCAACAAAATACAGTGACTGAGTTTACTACATGTACCCAACAGTAGGAAAAAAGCTCCTCTCCTAATTTAATATTTGCTTTTTTCTTTGTACAACTCAGTTCTGTACTCAAAGAAGAAAAGCCATTTTTAAAAGTCACAAATGTTTTGAAGGCTCAAAATCAAAATTATTTGTGAACTTAGTAATTTGACTCATTGGAAATTAGCAGATTTCTCTCATAAAGTGACATGTGTTGAGGGAGGGACATTCTCACCTGTTTTTGCTCAACTGGTTGACTGAGCCACCAGTTACTGAGAGCCAAAGCAATTTTCTCTTATTCTAATTATCAACTATAATTAAGATTTAAAGGTCTGATTATTAAACATCAAAGTGCAGATCACCCATAGTCTCGTCAACAAGTAGACAGTGAGATCTTGGTATCACCAGCTGTCAGCTCCACTGCACACGATACTCTGGGGGGAAATGCTTGGATTCTGATTTCTAACAAGTCTCATGGGGAATACCACTCACATGTTAGCTAAGTTACTCTTCTCATTGCTGAGACAAAATACCTGATGCTCAAAGTTAAAGGAGGAAAGGTTTATTTGGCTTACAGTTTATAGAGGTTTCAGTCCACAGTAGGCTGGCTCCAAGCGAGGGTGGCATGAAAGACACACATTGCAGAGGAGGAACAGTTCATGGCAGGCAGAAAGCAGAAAAGCTGTGTAGTAGGGAAGAAGCAGCAGCAAGTGAGAAGCAGCCCTCTATCCCTTCTAGTCTATCCTATCTAGGGCGGGCCCTCACATCCAGGGTATGCCTTCCCATTATCCAAGCACAGAATTATGCCAAACCAATTCGTGGAGTAGTTCAGTAGTCACATACCCTTGATTCCAGCAGCACACACTTAATCCCAGCATCACACACTCTAGATCCAGCTACCTCTGGAAAGCCCCATCTATGAGTGCATGAGGCTGTGGAGGGGACATCTGGACACAAGCTGTAATGTGTTTTCTATGAATTGCTTGATCCCAAGTTATTTTATGGCCAGTGTTGTTTTTGTTACAGCTTTATCTTACATTCAGGGTAACAGAGAACACTTTAATAGCAAAAAGCTAGGAAATGTCACAATATAAGTAAGTTGTGCCCTTCACTCTGTTTAGTTCAGAATTAACCAGCACTGGAGACATGTAGTCTCCCTCAAAAGTTTTGTAAATGAAAAGAACCATTGTTAGCTTTGCTGACCAAACATGCCCCCTTCCCCTTGGCTAGAACAGATAACTAAATAAATCTTAAAGGTACCCTCCCCTAAGAAAAGAACTGAATCAGGGTTGAAACTCCACTGCCTCAACACCATGTTTTGAATATCAGCAATGTGAACTGTGAAAATGCAATGTAACCAATTGAATGTGATCAAGGCTGTAAAAACCTATAAAAGAAGGAGCTGGAACCCAGTGAGGGATCCATCAGGGCACTGCCATTAGGTGTCATCGATCCCTATTGATGGAGGAAACTTTTGTTATTTTACTTCCATTCTGCTGCCTCCCTGTGTCACTTGCCAATTCCTTCCATAACAAGGGAGATAAAAAACACTTATCAGGAAGATACTCTATGCATTATTCGGTGATCTCTGTCCTAAATGCTCTTGTCTTCACAAAGCATTAATACTTTTTCCTCCTTCCTTGGACACAAAATGTTTTCAATAATTTTCTTTGTTCATTAAATTTATATTAGTAATTTAAATACCAGCCACCTTTTCTTTTTCCCCACTTGCAAGGCAGGTGGTGGAACCACTGAGCTAAATCCCTGGCCCTGATTTTTAAAAAAGTTCTATAAAAAAGGTGAGTAAGAGCCTTTGTTTTAAATTCCATTGTTTTGTTTGCTTGTTTGTTTTTTTCTTTTTGGTACCAGGGATTAAACTCAGGACTACACTCAGGACCCTGAGCTTGCAAGGCAGGCGGCAGAACCACTGAGCTAAATCCCATGCCCTTAAATTCTGTTTCTAAGGTTCCCCAAGTACAGTTTAACTGTACTCTGACTTTTACCTAGGAAAATCATGACTACAAAGCTTAACTTCAAAGATCCTGCTAACAAAATGAAACTACAATGGAATGCCTTACTTTTTCTATTACTGAAATTAAGTACAAATAATAAAACCCTTCACATTTTATATCCCTCTGAAATATAGCACCCCAATTATATAGCACCCCAATGTATAACACTAATATCTCCATCAAAATAATCTGAACTTTATTCACCAACAACAAATATCTAAGATTAATAAAAATTCCTCTTATAAATTATAACCAAGACAAGACCAAAACACTAACAAATGATGTTTCAGAAGGGAATCTTGTAATCAAGTAACTGTTTAACATACGTGATGGAGAGTCTCTAAATCAGGAGTAAACACTGGTTCCTTTAGAGCTTTCTATGAGTACTTCTTCATCCTCTTCTTGCTCTGTTTGTTCTACAGTGTTGGTAACTGTCAAAATGAAAAGTAATCAATTAGAGTTCTGGCTTCAAGTTTAATACTACCAGCTTCTATTCTGACATAATAGTCAAGTGGCTGACCAATACACTACAATAATTTTTAATAGGCATATGAATTTAGACAAAAACTAAACAGCAGAAATTACTAGTAAATTGAAATATTTAAAATTTTGTATGCTAACATATAGTGTGTAAATAAAATTTTTATTTACAAACCTGATGAAGCCCAGAACTTGGAGGCAAGGAAGTTGAGACAGGAGGGATCACATGTTGGAGCCCAGTGTGGGTGACTTAACAATTTTAGTGAGATCTTATCTCAAAAATAAAAAGTAAGGGGAAAAAAAAGAGGAGCTCGGGATTTAGTTTTATGTGAAGGCACTGGGTTCATTCCTCAGTGCCAAGAAGAAAAACATTAAATATCCATGTCCAGATTCTACAACCTTAAAGATTCAGATACATCATCTTCCAAACTGATTTTTCGGAAGTTATAGTTTGTAAGGTGTGTATGTTAAGGGCTCAGATGTGTAAAACCAATTATTCCCCAATTCCGAAGCTTCCAATTTGGCACGTGTAACAATTATTTTCATCCCATTTATTTAGAAAATGACAGATGATGCCATTCCTTGAGAGCTTCCAGTGACTTTAATATTGTTTGTACTTTCATATTTTAGACAATCTTGTGGATTGTAATTACTGATCACATTTTCACACTGGGAATTATAGCCATTCTAGAAAGCTGAGACTACTCAAAACCTTGTTAATTATTATTAATTAAATACTTTAATTACCCAAGAAGCCCAAAATTCTTAAGAATTTATAAATTGAACATAAGTTATTTGCAAAATCACCCGAGGATGGAATACCCCTTGACACTTTATAGAAAGACAGGAAGTATGCGACACAATTTTAACCTGATGTGGAATAGGTCATCACAATGTCACCCACACGAGCATAGACTTCAGTAAAAGTCGTATCTTCAGTTTACGGATGTGGTTTTGAAGATGAAAGCTCAGCCCAGTCATAACCAAGTTCAAGCTTGGATTATTGTACTTCTCTGTGATGGTAACCTCTGCCTTGACTCATCTAAGAAATGGCATGACATTTAAATGCTATATTAGGTATAGTGGTCGTAATCCATAACTATATGCTATGAAAAGTAAGGCATTACATATAATACTAAATTTTTATACATTTGCAGGTATACACTGCCAAGCCAACTGGGCATAAAATTTTTAAATGAAATAAATTTATATTTCTAATGAAGACTATCAAAAATAAGTTTGGCTGAATGAAATATAAATTATTATTCATTCACCAACTGAGAGCAAGTTCTTTTTCTCATCCGATTTATTCTTGGGCACTCTGGTTTCTTTTTCAAAGGTGAGGTTGCAGTCTTCTGAGTAGCAGGCTGAATGAAATGTGCAAACAGCTCTGTCTGCTTTCATAAATATCCAAATCTATTTGTTTGATCAGTTTGCTGCAAAAAATGTAAGACACATTTCATCAAAGCTTCAGAAATCAATTTTAACATGTTTCCACATGATGAAGTTAGCAATTCTGTAAAACGTAATAAAATGGCTGTCTCAAAAGCACTTTGTCAAATAAGACACCAAACACACAAGTCTACAGTGCATGATTCCACTTATGGTATACGAAATGCTCGCTAGAGACAGAAAGCAGATCAGAAGTAGCAAGGGGGTTGGGGCAGAAATGACGACAGAGGCAGGAGCAGACTTTTGAGAAGATAAAAACTATTGTAGTAGTGTTTAAAAGACTACATATACCTGTCAAAACCCAGTAAACTCTAAACTTAAAATTATTTTATGTAAAATATTTCTCAGCATAATTGACAAAAGAAAATTCTTACACATTCAAAGAAATTATGCAATTAATGTGAATTTGTTTAGAAGCACAGGGAAAAATGCACTGGTCATTATCAGTAAGAATGATGCCCAATTTTAGAAAGGCATCAGGCTTAAACTGTTTTTAAGTTAGTGAAATATTCCACAGTTCAATGTATTTTCCTTTCATATCTGCCCCCTAAACAATGATGTGATTGTTTCCCATTATCACACCCAGAGAATGGGAGAATTTCAACCAGAAAATACTTGGAAACAAACTTTCAAGAAGTAATGAAATCTAGAGCCTTTAGCCAACAGACTTTTTTATAGACATGACGATCACTTGGTGAAACAAAAGACGAGACCAGAAAAGTTCAATAAACAGAAAAAGCAGTAAGCACTGCTGCCTATAAATGTTCAGAATGTCAGTTCTCGAGAACTACAAAGGGATATTTTACTTAGCAAACACTGGAGGTTATAAGAGCTATCCGTTAAAGAAAAACAATTTTGAAAAATCACACTACTGTAAAAATTAAGGTCCAATTTTTCTATCAGCAAGGCACACAGTGTTTCAGTGGGTCACAAATGACAGTCACAAATCTAGACAGGCATAGTGGCACATACCTATTATCCCAGCACTCTAGAAGCCTAAGACAGAAGACTTACAAGTTAAAACTCCAGCCTGAGCAATTAAAAACTTTTAAAAAGGATATGGGATGTAGCTCAGTGTAAAGGCTCTGAATTCATTCCCCAGTACACATCTGCACAACAAGCCGTCAACATACTCCTCCCTCTAACGTCCTACAGATGACAAGCCTTAGTAGTTGCTTTTCATTTTATAAACTGTTTTAAAACTACTGTACTGAGATACATTATGTGTATGTCCATATTTAGCACAAATCTGTATATAATAAAAGTCCTCATACGGCTAGGTGTTAGGGCTGAAAAAGACTATTCAATTATCGTAATTACGGTTTGAGATAAAAATATTTAACTAGAAGCTTTTCTAGAGTATTCAAAATCTCAAATCATTGTTGCTAATTGGGGGGGGCACCTTGTTCCCTGAGGGACTAAGGTTTAAATGAAAGTGGCTGAGGCAGGAGGATCCCAAGTTTGAGGTCAGCCTGCCCTACAGATGGGGAGGGGTAGAGAGGCGGGAGGAGGAGGGGATGGGATACTATTCGGTCTGCAGGCCCTGAGTTTAATTCCCAGTACGGGAGGGAGGAAGAGAGGAAGGAAGGAATTAAAAAAGAAAGGCTGCTCATTTCAGCAGTCAGCTGGGCGGGGCGCCCCAGGTATGCGCATGCGCTCTCTTCCCGCCCGCTCGCGCCCCCAGCGCCCTCTTCCTCCTCAACACCTACCTCTGGCAGCGCGCGGGGGTGGAAGGCGCTCCGGGAAGGTCCTCGGCGGCGGAACCGAGGTTCCGTCTGCGTCCCCCGATGGCAGCCATGGGAGAGGCGACCAAGACCCGGGGGCCCACGGAGCGAGAGGCTCCTCAGGTTCCGCCTCCTGCGGCTCCGAAGGGGCTTCGGGTCCTCGTCCTCCTCGCCGGGCTCGGTTCAGTCTGTTTACCTTAAGGAAGGAAACAGCGAGGCCGAGGGGCGGGGCCGGCCGGGTCGCTAAGGTCAGAGAAGGGGCGGGGCTTGGGTCGCTAAGGCCAGGGGGCGGAGCCACCGGGTCATTTTGGTCAGGGAGGTCCGGCCAGTTGGAGGGGAGCAGGTGGCTGGAAGGAGAAAGGGAAGCAGAGACAGGCGGGGAACTCACTTCCCTCCCTCTCTCACTATCGCCAGATTTAGGAACAAGTGCCTACTGTTTAAAAATTTTTAAAAAATTACTTTTATTAAAATATGTTTTTAGAACAAGATTACATTCATTGTGGGGAAACAGTACATGTATAAAACACACCTCAATTCTCTTTTTTCCCCCCCTTTCCCCACCACCGTCTTTAATTTATTATTATTATTTTTTGCCAGCATCAGGTTCCGTTGTCTTTTAAATCCTTATTAAGGACTTAATAAGTGAATTAACATATAGCCAGGTTAACAGGCCAAAAAGCATATAAAACACGTTCGGCCATTATACTAAATCAAGGTGTACTTCCGTATTGTCTGTGCTGGCTTACAATAACTTTCTTTTTCTCTCTTTTTCCTGTTTTCTGTCTTTTATTTTGCACTTTATTCGTAGTTTGGTTTTCTCATATAACAGAAACCATGTGATATTTAAGCTCGCATGTCGGATTTATTTCACTTAACATAACGGTCTCAGGTTGCATCCGTTTTCCTACAAACGACTCAAGTTTATGGAAGAGTCGCACTCCACTGTCTGAAAATTCGTTTTCTTTATCCTTCTGTTTGTGGGCACATAGGCTGCTTCCAAAATTTAGATAGTATGAATTATGCTGCTATAAACAGGGCTGCGCATACATCACTGTGGTATATTTAACTCTCTGAAAGACACCTAGGAGGGGAATAGCTGGGTCAAATGGTATTTCTACTTTTAGTTTTTTGAAGATCTCCATACCAATTTCAATAGTGGTTGTACTAGTTGACACACCCACGAACAATGAAGAAGCCCCACCCCAGTCCTCTCCAGCTTTTCTGGTTTTGTTTTCTGGTATGAGGAATCAAACTCAGGACCTTGTGCTTATGAGGCAGGCACAGTGGCACTGAGCTAAATCCCAGGCCCTCTCCAGCTTTTTTTTTTTTTTG